ATATTGCTAGTAACACTGGTGGAGAAGGAGGACGAGGGGTTTATGGTGGTGGTAACGCTGGTGGAGGAACTTATGTTATTGGCAACGTTGGTAGTGGGGGAAGCAGAGGAGGAGCAGGAGGAGCACATGCTTCTGGCAACATTGGCCGAGTCACAGGAGGAGGGTATGGTGGGGGTGGAGGCGTTGAGAATGGGTATAGTGGCTTTGGGTTCGATGGCGGAGCGTCGGGCACCTCGTCCTATGCTACTGGGTACGCTGCAGGTGGTTCGAATTACGGCAGAGGTGGATCGGGAGTGCGTGGAGGGGCACCGACAAGTGGATTTGGAAGGAAAGGTGTAAATGGAATAGGAGGTCGAGTAGGAAATGGAGTAACAATAGGGACGGGGGTTGGAAGTGGAGGTGGATATGGAAGAGGTGGAGTTGGTGGTGGACGTGCTAGTGTTGGAGGAGCTGGTGGAGGTTATGTTAGCTTTGGAGGAGGAGGTCGAAGTGTTGGAACAAATGTTGGAGGTGGGTACACCACTGTTGGCGCAAGAGGTGGAGTTAGGGAAGGACATGCTAATGTTGGAGCAGGAACTGGGGTAAGAGGTGGAGTTGGAGGTGGTGTTAGAGTAGGATATGGTAATGTTGGAGCAGGAGTAAGAGCTGGAGTTGGAGGTGGAGCTGGAGGATACAGTAATGTTAGAGAAGGGACTGGAGTAGGAGGTGGAGTTGGAGCAGGGTATAATGTTAGAGGTGCAGTTTGGGGAGGATATAATAATGTTGGAGCAGGGGTTGGAGGTGGAGCTGGAGAAGGATATGGTAATGTTGGAGCTGGAGTAGGAAATGGAGTTGGAGGCAGAGTTGGAGGAGGATACAGTAACATTGGAGTAGGGACTGGAGTAGTAGGTGGAGTTGGAGCAGGGTATAGTAATGTTGGATCAGGGGTTGGAGGGGGAGTTGGAGGAAGACATGGTGAAGTTGGAGGAGCAGAAGTTTTTGGTGGAGTTGGAGGAGGATACGGTAATGTTGGAACAAGAGTAGGAACTGGCGGGGGATATGGCAATGTTGGAAGAGTAGTAGTTGGTGGTAATTTCATAGGAGGACATGGTAATACAAGAGGTGCTGGAGTTGGAGGAGATTATAACAATGTTGGAGGAGGAAGAGGAGGAGGAGGAGGAGGCACTGGAGGTGGAGTTGGAGGAGGATATGGTATTCTTAGAGGAGTAGCAGGACTCGGGTATGGCAATGCGGGAGGGGCAGCTGGAGTAGGTGTCGGAGTTGGAGAAAATTTTGGTAAAGTTGGAGGTGGAACAGGAGTTGGAGGAGGGTCTGTCGTCACTGGAGGAGGAATCAGAGCAGGAGGCGGCCACGGAGTTGGAGTTGGGGTTGGAGGAATCACAGGATATGGAGAAGGAGGTGTAGGTTGTGCTGGGGGAGGCTGTGGTAGGGGGGTTGGAGTCAGAGGAGTCTATGACAGTGCCGGAGGTGGCAATGGAGTAGGGGGCATAGTGGGGGGATGTGGTACCACTGTAGAAACAGGATATTATGGCTGTGGAGGAGGAGGTGGTACTCAAGGCTATGTTGGTGGAGGAGGAGGTGGTGCTCAGGGCTTTGGTGGTGGAGGAGGAGGTAGAGTTGGAGGTACTGGAGGTTATGGCAATGGAAGAGGAAGTGTTGTGGGCGATTATAGTAATGGGGGAGGTGGAGTTGGAGGTTATAGTGTTGGAGAAGGAAGAGGAGGAGGAGGCGGTGTTGGAGGTCATGGTAGTGGAGGAAGAGGTGGAGCTGTAGGTTATGGTAATAGAAGAGGAGGTGGATTTGGAGGTTATGGTAATGGTAGAGAAGCCGGAGTTGGAAGTGCCTACAGTCACAATGGGAGCTTCGGAGTTAGTCTTGGACAAACCCCAGTTGGAAGTGGCGGTTCCGGGCACCATAACTAAGGTAAGTCAGACCAAGTTTCTCAAACCATACCTAGAAATTTCATCTTTATACTAACATATCTACTTTCTCCTTTGCCTTCCAGTTCGTGGCGACGTAGCTGTGTTAGAATCCTCTGATAGAATTAAAAGGTCTCCTTTTATCCCTCGCGCTCAGCCTCGGTCCCGCTCTCGGAGGCCGAGCAGATCAAGGCCCTCCTATGGCCGGTCTCGTCGTCCATCAAAAGGACAACGAAGACCTCAGAAATCTCGACCTAGTAAAGGACACCGTCGTCCTCGCCCGAGCAAAGGACGCCCTCGGCCATCTTATGGACCTCCTCCTAAGGCCCCTAGCCCATCCTATGGAGCTCCCCCAAAGGCCCCTAGCCCATCCTATGGAGCGCCCCCAAAGGCCCCTAGCCCATCCTATGGAGCTCCTCCAAAGGCCCCTAGCCCATCCTATGGAGCTCCCCCAAAGGCCCCTAGCCCATCCTATGGAGCGCCCCCAAAGGCCCCTAGCCCATCCTATGGAGCTCCTCCAAAGGCCCCTAGCCCATCCTATGGAGCTCCCCCAAAGGCCCCTAGCCCATCCTATGGAGCGCCTCCAAAGGCTCCAAGTCCTTCTTATGGGGCCCCTCCTAAGGCGCCTAGTGCATCCTATGGAGCTCCTCCCAAGGCTCCCAGTCCTTCCTACGGTGCTCCACCCAAGGCTCCTAGCCCATCCTATGGAGCTCCTCCTAAGGCTCCAAGCCCATCCTATGGAGCTCCTCCTAAGGCTCCTAGCCCATCCTACGGAGCTCCTCCAAAGGCTCCTAGCCCATCCTACGGAGCTCCTCCAAAGGCTCCTAGCCCATCCTATGGAGCTCCTCCTAAGGCTCCTAGCCCATCCTACGGAGCTCCTCCTAAGGCCCCTAGCCCATCCTATGGAGCTCCTCCTAAGGCCCCTAGCCCATCCTATGGAGCGCCTCCAAAGGCTCCCAGTCCTTCTTATGGAGCCCCTCCGAAAGCACCTAGCCCATCCTATGGAGCTCCCCCTAAGGCCCCTAGCCCATCCTACGGAGCTCCTCCCAAGGCCCCTAGCCCATCCTATGGAGCTCCTCCAAAGGCTCCCAGTCCTTCTTATGGAGCCCCTCCAAAAGCTCCTAGCCCATCCTACGGAGCTCCTTCTAAGGCCCCAAGTCCTTCTTATGGAGCTCCTCCGAAGGCTCCCAGTTCTTCCTATGGCGCTCCTTCATAGAGATGTATATGATTGAGAGCCGTTGTTTAGATATCCCTATTTTCCTACCCATAGCGTAGTAGTCAACTTACCTCTTTAATAACAATATATGCTTCGAATAGTGACAATAGGATTGCTCGGTTACATCCCCCATTCAAGATACCTCAAATCAACATTTTACCATTTCAGTATTCTGAAAGCCCTAGGTATTGGAGACAGTGTTTGTCAAGACAGAAAAGGAGAATGTGGGATATCAAAATGAGAATGTGAACGGTGGAGGATGCAGAGGCACCATTGCATCCACTGGATGAGTGAAGGATTTGTCACTCGAAAGGACATCGTCAGTGGAAGGAGTAGAAAAGGAAGCCTGAAACATACAAAAACAAAAAATCACAAGGAAAATTTTATACGATTTTCCCATATATCATTCCCGAAAATCTAAACTGTAGATAGAACTTTCTTTTCCTTAATCCTTTAGTCTAGTCTTACACATGTGTCTGTGAAATAAAGTTCCTTCTTCCTATTTCATGTACCTTTTGGTGCCTGTCTCTGTGTTTTTTTTCGTTGTTAATATCTCCTGTTGGGTGCAATTGTTTGTCATACGTTCTAATGTTACTGTAGGTGAAAATGACGGCACAATGGACATGATGTTACCATCTGCAAGATGTGATCTGGAGTTTATAATAAAAGATACATTAATTTGGTTTATTTCATTTCATATTTTCCATTCTATATGGTAGTGTGTGATCACAGAAAATTATAGAGGAAGACTGTAAAATTCCTGCTGTGTAATTAGTGTTGCAAACTTTATTTACCATTTCTAAAAGTTCAAGGGCAGTATTCAAGAAGGGCCACAATTTTTTCTATGACAAATTCAAGGACTGTCCTAAAAACAGTGCTTGAGGAGAAGATCGTCGTAGAATTTGTCTATGATTCGTTTTATTGACTGTCCTTAGAGATTTCAAAGTTAACACTTAAGTAGTATTGATATTCACATCTTAAAAGAACCTCTACAATCGTTGTCAACTGAGAAGGTGCATGTCGCCATCTGTATTTATCTATGAGAAAACTGAAGTAAATAAGAAGAAAACGTTTGATATTATGTAAAAAAGTGGCAGGAAAGTTTCCTATACCATTTCTGTAAAACTGAAATCGCAGTATTGTTTTAGACGTCTCATAAGGACAATTTAAAGGTTGGGTGTTAAAGACATTTTCAAAGACTTTCTTTTCCATCAAAGATAAATCTCGTGAATACCACCCCTGGGGCCAAACATGTGGTAAGGGTTAATTTCCAAAGGATACCAGAGTACTGGAAAATTATTATTATTATTTTTTTACTTTCAAAACGATAATGACATATCAAGTTTATTTAATCTATGTTACAGTATTTCAAAAGTTCTTTGACTGTAATCGTCCTTGGTGATGCCATCAACACAACTCAAAAGTACTGTATAAAGCTTCAGATATTTGACTCTATATATAAAGGTCCGGCTTAAAATATGTTCAATATATTGTCAGCACTAAGGGTCAATGGCAATTCTCCAATACGCCGTTCGAGGTTGCACCTAGCTTGAGGATATCATGAGACACTTAATATATGCAATAAGGTCTTAAGTATTTAATTATGTGAACAATTCGATTAATTTCTCTTCGTTTAAATTCATCTACGAATTTATCAAAATATTTTATGCAGCTGCTGGCAGTGTTTTTCACAGATTTGATAATTAATGAAATGGAAAGACATAGGCCAATACGAGTTTGTTAACTCAGCGAAGATTGAATCCTTACTGATACATTCATTTAATACTTCAAATGGGATCCATGATTTTCTATTGTTTTTCTTACTACTGTTACTGTTCCGTTTCTACTCCTTGTGTCCTTGATGGAACCAATGTCTCACAAATATTGTTCAATTCCTTAGGCCTGAGAATCACCCATTTGAAAGCATGAATACCCAGATTTTATTTATTTTTCATTGCATTACAGCCCTATATATAGACCAACAAATGTTCAAATAGATGACTGTTCTTTCCAAATATATGTTATTAACTAATAGATAATTTCTTGCACCTTGAAAAGTTACTGCATCAGTCAGCACAGGTTAATATCATGCCATGGCAATTATTTGAAGTATATCCCAATAAAATTATAAGAAATGTAACAAGAAATAAGCAACCAAGCAACTTACTGGCATAAAGGAGGTGCCATGCATTCTCGAGGAGGCACCCTCGACCACATACCTCCATACTTGCAGCATCTCAGGTCAGGCGTTCATCTATCCTTGCTCTTTTCTTGAATCACCTTGTCCTCAGCCTTCAGTATTTGATCCCTGCATTCGTCTGCCTATCAGTGTACCCATTTCAGTATCCACCCAAAGTACTGTCATAGCTAAATCTGTATGTCTGTTCTCAAGAAGATATACTCGTTCCTTTTATTTTTATAACCACAGTGTACACAGACCAAACATTAAGTGCCAGCCTGGAGCTCAAGAATAGACACTTGGTAGACGCATCATGGCAGCAGAGAGACAGGCTGATAGACAAGGACAGCCTTGTTTATCAGAGAGATCCAACTCCAGACAAGTTACACACTCATCCAGATTATATGGATTCCTGCCACATTGCAACAAGTACCATTGTCCATTGGAATTCTACACCCACCTCTTCTCATTAAGTCTTGTGGCATTCATTGAACTGAAAAGTGCCTTTGACATTGCAAATCCAGGTGTGATCCTCCACCAGCTTGTGGACTTTGGTATATGGAAATCTCTTGTGATGGATATGAGGATACTTAAGCAATAGATTATCTTATGTCCTCTTTAAAGGTGCCTGTAGCACACATAAGTGCTTTGGTCTTAGGACTACATATTGAGGTGTCCTTAGGCCATTTCATGTCATTATACTTATTCACTGCTTCATCTCCCAGCTCCCTGGCATCCCAGTGACAACAGTCACATACTACACTGACAGCATCTGCATTTACTTCAACTTCCCAGATCTACAGCACCAATATATATACTTCATTCATTTTACAAATCTTCTGCTTCGTGTAGCATCATCATCTCTCCTGAAAAAGCAGGATCTCTCCACAAAACCCACAAACACAATCTGAATTTCTAGTGTGCCTCAGTATTATACCATCTGCACACAGTATCTTTATTTGGGCACTGCAATTCGAGTCCTTCCTACCACTCTGGCACGTCGTGTCCATCCTATTGTTCAGGAATTATTGACACGGCTGCAATAGCGCCTTGAATCCCTCTCCTTGGATGCAATGGACTGGTTATTTGTAACTCACAGTCTGTCCTTCGTGCCCTCTCCCCTAGCCTAGTCAATCACATACTGTACCATCTAGTTACAGCAATTGGACATGCACTTGTAATACATTTCCCGTGGATTCCCTTGCATGTCAGAGTAACAACAAATGATGTGGTTGGCCGTCTTGCCAAAGCTGCCTGTAGGCTTGTCCTAGCTGCGGCTGAAGCCTTGCCGGCCACCCTCTCCCACTGCAAGCGGAGGATATGTGCTCACTTGCCAACCACCCAGCGCTGGAAGGACGACCGTCCAGCGAGCGTAAGCATCCAGTACTACGACCACTTCACCTCTCATCAGGCCTATAAGTACCGACGCCGCGGTCTGCTGGTAAGAAGACAGGATGTGGCGGCTGCCAGGTTCCTGTTAGGCCAGAGACTAGTCTGGCAGGTTGGCGAGTCAGAAGACGTGCTTCAGTACTCATTGTCTTAGTTGTGGGACGCACATAATGCCAGACAACTGCAGCATTTTGCCTCGAGTGTCCGAGAGTGGCTGATCTCATATCAAACAGAGACTCTGTCTTAGTCATTTGCAAGTACTTATTAGGAGATGACAATTTAAATGTAATATTTTTGCAATACAACACTCCTCCTGAACTTCCGTTGTTTATTTTTTATGTATTTATTTCATCTTTCCTTCTGTAATTGATGCATGGTGTGTCCTGCTTGTCACAAACACTGTAAATAATTTGTGCTGTATAGGCTTGTCGTTCCCTTGGTCGGAGGGCGAGCAACGCCTGAGTCTGGGCTTAACGGCAAGGGAGTAATCACGCTACCTAGTGCTGTTTAAGATGAGAGAGCTTACAGCAGCAAAAACAGGTGAGCGGTGAGTTGTGTATAGGATGAATCAGAATTTTTTAGACTTCCCATCGACCAGGTGATCATAATATCTACTTTATGTAATTGACAGTACCATCATCATTCGATTTGCAATTCTGTGCTATGAACACAAAACGAACTGCCACACGCGTATGTTTAAGTGAAAGGTTATTAGTTCCCAAATTACTTCATTGACTTTTTACACGTAGCTAGAATTAATATTGAAAACGTTTATGATAAACGCACACACACACACA